CTGCTTCGGTTGCAGGAAGGGAAATCCCGGTCTTTAAAAGGGAGTTGGCAGCGGCGATTATTAAACCAGAAGCGAAGAGGTTTTTCTGGCTCCGGTCCCTGCTTTCCTCCCTTTGATTTTTTTTTTTTTTGTGTGTCTTTGCTGTCTCTCATCAGGACACTTGTTCAACTTTGGGTGATGCTGGACACTGCTTGCTAGATCTGAGAGGAAACAAAGCAACAGTGCTAGAATTTTTTTTTTTAGATTTTCTTCCCTGCAATCTTGTTGAAGGTGTTGGAGTACATCCAAAAGTGTTTTGTTTTCCTTCAGTTAATTTGGGCTCTCTGAAGTCCATGGAAAAACCTAAAACAGCCTCTTCCCTAAAAAGAGAGAGAGATGCACCAATGTAATTTGTGAATCCCATTGATATTCCCTTTTTTCCTTGCTCTTTCATGATCCTAATTTGTCAGCCTGCCAGACAGAACTGTTCTGCAGGTACTAATGCTTTAGCTGATCAAAGCCTCCCTTCCCAAAAGTGGCATTTGAATTCAGGTGATTATGGATCAGTGGCTCTCACCCCTTGACTTTGCCCCACCCGCTGTTTTTTCGTCATGCAATAGGGTGGCTGTTGGAAAGGTTGGTCCAGGGCATCTCTGAGCCCAGAGACAAGAGGCACAGGCTGGTTTAGAGGTGCATGCAGGTGCAAGGATCCATAGCTGTGATGGTGATGCATTATGCCCGTGCAGAGGAAGCACTGAAGGATCAGGCTGGTAAATTGTGCTCTTGCGCAGTCAGGATTGGGGTGTAAAAGTGCCTGTTCGCTCAGACACCGTCAGGGAAGGAGCCACAGTTTGCTTTGCCTTTGTATTGGCGTCAGCTGGTCGGGAGATGACCTAAGGTAGCTTAGGTGAGGAAGGAGTCTGTGGAGCCGTGGCGGGGATTTGTGTGCCCTGACACCCATAGCAGTAAGCTGCAATTTTCCTGGCTTATTTGCGTTTTCTGATCTTCCCTTCCGTAACCCACTGAGCTTTGTGGGAGTCCTCGTCTGAAGTGTCTCCAAAGTTGTTAGCTCCAGGTAGCTGCTGGCTGAGTGCAATCAGACCTGGCCATGCGTGCAGGGAGATTCGGGGAGGGGGGGTGGGCACAGGAATGCAGGAATGTCTTGTTCCCGGGGCATTTCCTCCTGGGGAAGGAAGATGGGAAGGCATCCTTGTCTATGAGTAATCCAAGAGCAAAACGTTTCTCCCCTCGCAGACAATGAATCGTTTCAGCGAGCTGACACTGTTATTTGTGGCTCCTGGCAAACCAGATAAGAGCTTTCTGCCAGGCACTTCTCAAATCAGTGCCAGCCCCAGCCTCGCTGATTGCCTTTCTCTGTTCCACTGGGTGGGAGAGAAGCTTTTGTGTACCACGGCAGTAATCACAGTGGTGCTTCTGGGTGAAGGAAGGTTGTTGCTGGTCCCCTTGGTTACAGTCACTGGTTCTAGTCCTTGTATCTCCAGGCCTTTTTCATTTTTCCAGAGAGAGGATGTCACTTCAGAGAAGGTATTTTTCCTGCCTGGCTCTGCTTGTGGGGCTGTGAAAAGCTATTTCCAAGACCTCTTTTCTTTACCCTTGATCTAAACCTTGCACGAGGCTGGTTATACCTGCTCATTAAACAGGGAATTAAATCACATAGGAATGCTGCTTCCTTGATGTCTTCTCTATTACAGAGCTATGCTTAGAAGTTGAGGCTTTTTAAGTGACTGTGTGGGCTTAGCTGTGGAAAGAGCCTTGTAAACAATAAGCCTTTGTGATGAAGGGAGAGTAATTGTAACCATCACCCGTCCTATTAAAAATCTTCCCATTTGGGGGCATAACTGAACTAATCAGACAATGTTGTGCTTTTCCAGATAACTAGGTGATCTTGAAGAGTGGCTCTGGCGAGCAAATGCAAAATGAGCAGCGGAGGACAGTGCAGAAGACGTGGAGGGCTCTGGGTCTGAGCCATAAGGATTTGAAGATGTCTGCGTGCACTGACTTTGTGGAACACGTTTGGAAGCCCGGCTCCTGCAAAAACTGCTTCAACCCAAAGAGTTCCCATCGGCTGCAAACACCTGCAGACGTGAGAGCTTGTGGTGTGCTCCCGAATGGAGTTAGGACCAAGCCTGAGAGCTCTGCATTGGAAGACGAAGGTGTAAATACTTCCCCCTTCTCAAAGCCAACAATTGCTGTGAAGCCAACTATGATAAACTCAGATGTTTCTGACGCGTGGGCGGATGTGAATATGAATGCAGATCTGTCACAGGTAATGATTAATCCAGTTAAAGCATGATTTCCCGTTACTTACCTCTCCTCTAGAGTGCTAGGAGTATCTGTTAAAATTATTTCCTTCCCTTTGTTTTTCTCTTCTGGTCTTGACTCAGGTTTTTAAGCCATATATTGGCTTCTTAAAGTATCTTTGGCTGAAGGTGAATGAGCTGTTGCTTGCAAGGCATGTGCAAAGGAGCTTAAAAATACGTTGTTTGTTTAGGAACTTCTGGATTTTAAATAAGGATGCCAGTTAAAGTTATTTTCCTGGAAGATATACTGAACAGAAGTCCTGTGTGGTTTCAGTCAGTTCTGACTGGATCCATGGTCCTTGTGAGTGAGGAAGAAAGTGCCCTACCTTTACTAGCTAGTACAAGCTAGTAAAGGATTTGGAGCATGTGTTGTACGAGGAACAGCTAGGGATCTGGGGCTGTTTAGCCTGGAGAAGACTGAGGGGAAACCTTATTGCTCTCTGCAGCTACCTGAAAGAAGATCATAGTGAGGCGAGGATTGGTCTCTTCTCCCTAGTAGCAAGTGATAGGACAAGGGGAAATGGCCTTAAGTTGCACCAGGGCAGTTCAGGTTGGATATGAGGAAGAATTTCTTCACTGAAAGGGTTGTCAAGGCACTGGAACATGCTGCCAAGGGAGGTGGTTCAGTCACTGTCACTGGAGGTGTTTAAGAGACGTGTATATGTTTTGCTGAGGGACATGGTTTAGTGGTGTTGATAGGGCTAAGATAACAGCTGGACTAGATCATCTTGAAGGCCTCTTCTAGCTGAAACTGTTCTATGATTCTACCTTCCTAGCCCAGATCCATGGGCTCCCAACCTTTGCCAGAGCGGTAATGCATTCCAGGTGTGACATTGCTGCCTGCCTGCAAGCTGGCAAGCTCTGGTGGTTTGAGTTGCAACTGAGATGCGTGGCTCGCTCCCCTCCCTGACCAGTTGGTATTAGCACAGCCCCAGCCAGGCAGAGTGAAGCAGGGGCTGTTGTCACCCTGCCCATGGCACACGTGTGCATGTATTGCCTGCCCTTGCCCCAGAGGAGACTCAGGGCGTGCTGGCTGTGATTGAGCAGCTCTCTTCTTGGCTTCCCATTGTTCTCTCTTGCTTCTCTTCTTAGGGTTAAAGAGCAGATGGGTGCAGGCTGCCATCATAGGTGGGTTTGATCTGTTTGATCAGATTTAGCCCCGGGCTGAGTTTTGTGCTATGGGAGCGAGTTCTGCCACCATGGGACAGGGGTTGTTTTGCAGGCACGTGTTCCCCTCTGCCTCCCTCTCTCTCTCTTACCTTGGCAAGTAGGATCAATCTCCCTCAAATTAGGAGATTTTTGGATACATTTCCTCACCCACTCCCCAGTCCCTACTACTGAGTATAACCAACCTGTGATGATCTGTGTCTCTGCTCCAGAGTGTGCGGCTTGGGAGCAGGAGTGTGAAATGAGATGAAAATAAGCAGAGAGACATGCAAATATTCCTTCCCTCTCTGAATTTTTAATTGCATGGTGATTCGCAGGCAAGATGACAGGTTGGACGTGTTTCTGGCAGCAAATCCGTAGAAAGAGAAAGGAGAATACCTTATTTTGCATTGCCATTGTGGCTAATAGGAAATAGGGATGTGTAGTTTAAATAGAAAACGTTTGTGGTAGTTATTGGTGGGGTGAGCACAGGGTGAAACAGTGAATGCCAGAGGCCTTTTCTGCCGTTGTTGTTTTTTTTTTCCCTTGTTTTGTTTAAATCTCTTTCACTTTTCATATGTACAACCTGACAGTGCACTTGTCTTTTTGGCCCGTGCAGGTCAGCTGGGGCATGGTTTCTGGCAAACAACTCCTTCTGAAATCAGGAGATGCGCAGCGGATCTGCCTCGACAACTTTGGCAGTGGTGGTGTGAGAAAACCCTTCCTTCACAACTCGCCCAGCGACTGCTTGTCCTGCTGTCCTCCTAGCTACTCCATGGTGGGCCTGCGCAGCCTGGAGAGTCGAGTGGAGAGAAACGTCTCCATCCACAGCCTGGTGCTCGTGGGTGAGGTGGGCAAGCAGGAGGACAGAGTCAAAGACAAGTTTGCCCTGCCGCGTCGGCCCCCCTGCCCTAATCCGTCCACCATGGGGGACAGAAGCAGTGTGAACTCCAGCAGAAACCCTTCTTCACAAGTCAGAGACGGAGCAGTGCTCCCCTCGGAGGGCGACTGCGGTCACCTCTCCTCCAGCTTTGAAAGTGAAGGGGGTGAGTACTGCTCAATCACAGACTGCCACAAAGAACACTCCGTCTCATGGGAGACACGTTGTGCGGAGGGGAAGGGTACCCGCTGCGAGAAGGAGAGCCCCACTCGCTGCGGATGGAGGCAGCGGGATGCTCCCGAGGTCCCCAGGCTGAGTGGCAGAGCGGTCAAGTTTGGCGAAGAGGAGCGCAGAGCTGTGAACATTGCCTTCTGCATCACGAAAGACCAACCTGATCCTCTCCCCTATGCCCTGGGCTCAGAGAAGAAAAAGTTGGCTTTCCAAGCCGAGCCTGCCGCCTTCCCGGAGAGCATGGGGAGCAGCAAGGCAGCTGCCTTTGCTTTGTGTCAGGAGGAGGAGGACTCTCCTCTCCCTGCAGACCCCTCTATCACTGGAAGTCCTCGATCTGAGGGTTCAAGCACCCTTCAGCATGCTCTGGTAGAGCCACAGCGCCCTTGCCTCATGTCGCCAGCCTGTGGTGATCCCATCTACGCCGAGAGCACCAAGAGGAAGAAGGTGCAGCTGAAGGCTGTTGTCGGACAGGCAAAAGCGGAGAAGCTGGCCCCTGGCACTGGCAAGGATCGAGCTGATGGAACTCGGAGGGAGGTTGGCTGGGCTTTGGGTGGTGAGAAGGAATACCAGGACTCCACCGGCCAGGTGGCAGCAAAAATAACTATAATGACAGCACACACTGAGGATGATCACAAGACAATATTCCTCAGCAGCCCTGACTCGGCAGTGGGAGTTCAGTGGCCGTGTATCAGTCCCACTTCTCACCCTGATTTTGGGGCTTCATCACCTGCCATTGAGCCTGGAGAGATTTTTCAAGCATCTGGAATTGAAAACAGCTCAAGATTTCATCCGGCAACTCCTGCCAAGACCTCAGTTACTGAGAGTCCAGCCATTCCACCAAAGATGTCCAAAAACAGCCAGCCGGGCAGTGAGGGGAACCGTGTGGCCCCGGTAAGCTCCCATGGTGCAAGGTTTGGGGATGAGAGCAGCCATGAGGGAGCTGGTCTTCAGCTGCTGCCAAGGAGCTATACTGACACAGGTGCTTTTGGGGCATCCTCTTCTCCATGCACTCATGTCAATGGGGTTTCTGTGGAGGAGTCCAGCAGAGGTCTGGCAGCCTCATCCTATGACAGGAGGCAGAAACACTACACCCCAACGTGGACCAAGCAGTGCCGGATAGAGGAGGAGGAGGAGCAGGAGGATGAACAGGAGATCTTAACCCACCCATGGGCAGCAGGAGCTGAGAATGGAAGAGCCGGTGCTGACCTTGTGGATGACGGCCCAGTTCTGGAGAGCCAGGCTGGCATCAGCAAATCGTCGTCCTTCTCCTTTGATTTCCCTAAAGACAAGAGTAATGGCATCGAGTTTGCACCACCACCGCCGCCACCAAAAAAGCAGTCCAGGTACAGCCCTGTGAGTGTGTGTGTGGTTGTCTAGTAACCATTTGCAATCAGGTTGTTTGCTGCAGGGATTCATTGACTAGGAGGTGCTTCCTGTTCTTTTTTTCTTCCTTTTCTGTTCAAAGGTGGGTTTTCGGGAATGTGGGAGGTGACTGCACAAATGAAAAGTTTCTTACCTTTTTACTCTGAAAAGCTGTCAGATCTTTGCAAGTCTTGGTTCACGTACCTGCAAAAGCCCTTCGGTGCTGCAAGGTGCGACTTTGGGTGCCAATATTCTAGTGAGAACAAGGTCCGTGCCTAGGATGGCTGGTGTTTCCCACGTCAGCTTCATTCTGCCTCGGCACAGTTCTTCATGTTTAACAGCACATAAAATCTGGGATTGCAACCTCCTCTAGTAAACAACTTGGCAACTTCTCTTGATTCTAATAGTGAGGGCCTCTGAAATCCTCATTTTCAGTTTGGCTCTCATGTCTTTTTGCTTTTGAGGTTAACTCTTGAGGCCACAATTCCCCAGGGAGAGCTCCCTGCCTGCAAGCAGTAATGCCTAACGTGAGCTTATGATGTGTGGGAGCCACCTGGCTTCAGGCAGTCTTCCCCTTGCTGCTCTCCTGAAAGTCAGATTTGCAGGCGGGGTGACAGCAGACCCTAGAAAACAAATGTGAATGAGGGAGAGCTGTCCATCTGGGAAGGAAGTAGCTCTGCTAAGCAATTAAAAAAACAGGCTTCTGATACTATGTGTGCGTTCAGTATCTGCAGCTGTGTGTATCAACAACAACAAAATATATGGAGGCAGAAAAATTGATTTCCTTTCTATGCCGCTAATGGGTCACGTTGTCTGAGCATACTGGGGAGGGACATTTTCACATTCTGTGCGTGTCCTGTATTTGCTTTATTGTTTGTGTCAGTTTTGTTACGTGGGATTGTGCAGTGCACAACAGATTGGACTGCATCTCTTTGATTTAAAAGCTGAGAGAAGGGATGGAAGTTCAGAAGAGAGCTTTCTCTGGAGGCCCATGGTCAAGCTGATGCGTAGGCATTGGTGACCTCCAGGCTAAGACTGTGGTTGAGTTGGCCCATCCTCAGTTTTGTTCTCACACCGAATTTTCAATGTTTTTAGGGTTGCCTATCAGAGGGAACTAGTGTTTTAAATTGTCCGAGTGGTGAACAAATTAAGTTTCTTAAGGAAAGGGAAGACATGAACAAGAGGCTTTAGTTCTCCTTAACGTTGAGCTTCCTGCTGTGATGCTGCGTGCCCGTTGGAGTCAGAGGAAAGAAAACATCCACAAACCAGTGAGCACATGTTTGAGCTTTATTGCCTTTAAAATCAAAGAGAACACTAAGATGTGCTTTAGCTTTGACCTCGTGAACTTCCTTTCATGGCTGCTGCCACTTGGTGTCTCCTGTCAGCCTGTGGCTTGGGGTTGTATTTGCCGCATGAGGTGTTGAGGCCCAGAAAAGGCAGTGTGATGCTGTCGAGCACTGATCATTTAGGAAATGCCAAGTTGCCTGCTCAAAGTCCTCTAGAATCTGATGCCTTACCCTGCAGAGCAGAGGTCACTGTGCAGGCCAGAAGGATGGTGGCACTCAATCTCAGCAATATATATCCCAGCAGCATATTTTGCTCACATTGCTAGGACCTCATTTTGCTCACGGAGAAGGAGCCGTGCAGAGCCCTTTGTCTGTACTGGGGGCAAAGATGCTTCCCTGGCAGTGCTTGGAGTCTCCTTTCTGCCTTTGTGAGGGCTGGGAGTGGAGGCAGGGGCTTTGTCAATATGTCAGGGTGTCTCCTTGGCTGAGTGACCTGGACCAGCTGTTCCTCAAGCCAAGAGCATGCCCTGCTGTTGCCCTCCATGTGGAGTTACGACGATCTGTCCTGAGGGACAACGTGGAGCATTTTCTGCTCTTTTGAGGGGCTGTTTCATGCTCCTGGTGTGATTGGGCTGTGCCAACTGTAACAGTTGCTTCTGAGTCACCCTCAAAGCATCTGCATGCTAGGAAGCCTCTGTAAAAATGGGCAGGGAGACTGAGTTCAGGGAACACATGGCATCCGTGACCAGGATCCCTGGCAGAGCCATAAACCCTGCCAGGTGGTTGAGATAGATGCTGGCAGTGCTCTGAGCCCCAGTGGCTGTAGGACATGTGTTGTGCTACGTGTGTTTGTCTCCTAAATGCCTTGATGCCTGCAGACGAGCCTCGGGGCACCCTGCTCGAAGGGTATAGTCCTCACTCAGCTACCAGGCTCCTCTGCGCCATCCTGAGGAGGGATTTGATCAGATGGCAGGTTTCGCAAGCCATACAAACCCATCTGGTTTCTTTGTTTGTTTGCTTTGAGGGTGCTTTTGTTTTTGTCTCAAGTGTGGCTTCTCAGAGCGTGTCGATGCAGGAACCAGGGTGTTCTTACCCGTGCGTGGCAGCGGGAGGGATGACTACGTGCACGACTGGTTAAAATCACCATAGTGAGATTGTTGCTTGCAGCTTCGGGCCATAACAAGACTGGTGCTGGAGGAACATCTCTGGTCGTCCTGGGCTGCAGCCAGGTGCCTGAAGAAGGGAGGAGGTCTTGCTCACAAAGGTGACTCTGAGACGCATCCATACTCTCTTAGGCGCAGGCAGGCTGTGGGCATGTGCTCGTCTGTAGTGGAAGAACCACAGACACTTGTGTTATGCTTAAAGATGTTATGCCAAAGACATTTGGTGGCACAGCTGCAAAGGCTTCTTTGCTGGATGGATGGATGGATGGAGATGAAGCCAGCATCATAGACCTGGTTGTGGCACAGGCTTGGAGCTTAGCAAATCAGGGTTTGTTTCAGCTGCAGGAAAGGTGTGTAACCGTCCTTTTTCCTTGTAGATCTGAAGCCGCAGCAAGGTATTTGATTTCGTGCTGGAAGATGAAGCTTGCCCATTTGACCTTCCTAATTAAACTTAATTGCTTATTTTAGAGAAAACTTGCATGTGTGTTCAAACTAGTTTCAAAGCAGAGAAAGAAAAAGTGAGTCTGTAGATTTTGTTTGGTTCATCTTGGCTCTAACAATTAAAAAGGAAAAAGTTTTTACAGGGTAAATTCCTGCCAGGCACTGAGGAAACTCTGGTTGTGCAGTAAGCTGTCTCTTTGGATGATGGAAGGAGTAATTTTGGGGAGTTTTAAAAGTTGGTGCAAAAAAGGAAAAATTTGTGCCTTTTTCATCCTATGTAAATCTACTCTGGGCCTCTTGTGACTGTTTATTCACACAATCATTTTTTCCTACTTGTTTGAAAGTTTTTATAGATATTTAACTTATTTTAACTCCAGTCCAGTTTGCTTGGACTGGAAAATAAGCGTAATTACAAGAAGAAAGAGATTGGAAAGGGAAGACAGTGACTGGTCTTACAAAAGCTGGGAAAGTAGTTGGCTAAGGAAAGGGCTCAGCACGGTAACTAGGATCCCCAGGACTTGTACAGGCAATGATGATTTAAAGGTTCTTCTGTGTGAAATGCTCTAGCGTGGCCTTCAGTTTCTTGGCATGAGGAATGAATCCTTGCTGAAATTTATGTCTCTCTTATGCAGAGGGCCAGGCTAAATGATCCTCACGGTTCCTTCTAGCCTGCAAAACCTTGACGGTTAATTTATTTCATGTGCCTCTTAAAGACAGGAAACAGTGATGCTGTTTTGCATCTTGAGTTGTTGGCTCTTGAGCTCTTTTTGTCATAATTAATGCCACCTTCAAAAGGCAGTGCTGTAAATAGCTTCTGAAATTTGCTGAATGCACTCGCTTAGGGTAACAAAGGTGTGTGGTGCGGCACATCCCGACACCCGCCGTCGCTGAGAACAGCCAGGACAAATGAGTTTGAGGTGTGCCAAGATTGCATGTTACGGGACTGCAGCTTGTTGCCAGAGGAAACAGAAAACAAGAGCGTTACACAGAAATGATGACTTGGGAGTTGGATCATCAGGAAAAGAGCCAGGTTTGTTCCACATCGGGGAGGTGGTGCTGGCTGGTGGGACTGTACCATGTATTCCTTGCCAGAAATCGGTCTGCAATGGAGCAGTGCTGCACCCGAGACAGAATATTCCCCTTTTTTTACTATTCTTGAAGCACCCATTTCTCTTTGGAGCTCAGTGTCAGGGTGTACCCTGCTGACAAAAGCAGACTGGCTATATAGAGCTGCTGTGGCAATTATGGATGCAACTGGAAGTCACAGAGGTCCCAGATTTTAACCTTTTTCTCCGTGATTGTGGATTACAGCAGGGACTTGTTTGGTTTAGGACAAGCCAGACAATGATCATGATTATATTGCATTAGTATTAATAATAAATATTACTAATAATTAAAGAATAAATATTAATAATAATAAATAAAACCTCTGGATTGAGTCTATTAAAAGACATAATTTATAACTAAATAAGTAAATAAAACAAAGAAGGGAGAGTATGGCTCAAGCAAGAGCGAGAATCATACTCCAGGACAGGGATGGAACACACCTTTTTCATTCCCTCTTTGTCTGTTTGTCTGAAACTAATTGGGAATTTCTTGTGCTACTTCTGCCAGTGGATCATTTTTAAAAGGCTGTGATTTATCAGCCAATCTTTAGGAGAGTTTGTTTCTTTTTAAATGAAAATTGCTCTCTTTTCCATGTGTTTCCTATCTTATCACTTATAATCGTGTACAGTTGGAAATTAAAATGAGATTCGTTGTCCTTTTCCCCTCATTGGAGCATGCAGTGATTTAATTTTTGCCCCGTCTGCCACCTTCATTCTGTGCCCCACTTGCATTTCCCCTTGCATTGCCAGACTCCAAACCCTTGTTTCAGCTTAAGCTGTGCGACATAAAATGTTTTTGGTACAGGGAGGAGCGGTGTAGTCCTCCAGACAGAGCTAGGAATGTTTCAAAATCCTCTCTTTACCTCACCTTGATTTTTGGTTTCTTCACATTTGCCAGCTGGGAGCAGAAAAAGTACAAATCTGAGCCTCGGATGTTGTAAGCTCCTCTGTGCTGTTTTATAACTGTCCTGTACATCCAGGGGAAGAAACAGCAGTGGAGGGAGGAAGAAGATGTAATTATTCACGTTTCATGATAGACAAGCATATGGCATCACGGTGCTTCCTCTTGTGTAATAATTACGCCCAGCCATGTGTTGGGTTTGATGTTGTAATGCAGCCTGGCTTTTCTCTGCCCCGCATTAGCTTCAATATTTCATTTTGGGAGGGAGTGCGCTGTTGACATTATCACCAGTCTTCTTCCGGAGCATGGTTTGGTTTGTGGTGATTTGTGTGTGTTCCCTGCTCTCCTCTGCCTACTTCCCCTGTTGCACGACTTAATCACGCTCAGTATCTGTGTTATCTGTCCAAGTCCTGTCATCTGTGCTGAGAAGGAGCGATCCCCTCCTGCCGGCACAGCGAGGCTGGGAAACCCCTGTGACGGGGCTGCGGAGTGGGTGCTGCTTGTGATCGGGTCTCTGCACGGGGAAGAGGTGTCTTCCAGCATCCTCCACCGCTGTCAACATGCTCTGCGTGTGGTGGGCTCTGGGAAGGAGCAAGCAGGAGCCTTGCGGCTCTTTCATCTGAGTGACCTTCTCCTCCTTGCAAAACCTCCCGGCCCCTTGCACTTTTGGAAGGTAACCAGAGCCACACGTCTAATCTCGGGCAGGAAATTCAAGCCAAAGGCATGCCTGGAGTCTGAGGGATCCCCGGGGTGATGCCCCAAGGCATGTGTGCCTGCTGTGGTCCGGAGAGCCGTGCTTTGGTGCCCGTCTCCAGTGTCTCTCCGGGAAGTGCGAGGTGCGCAGTCAGTGATGCTGGAGTCCCGCAGCAGCATGAGGTGGGACCCCAATCTGTTAAGAAATGCGAAATTAAATGTGCAGCTACTGCTTGAATACGAATCACGGGAAAGACGAAGCATGCCCTGGCCAGTGATGCAACGTGGGGCATGGCAATGATCTGGGGCCCTTTGCAATAATATGGAACTCCAAACTGTTTTTGGTTGGAGTTTTTTCTTTGTGTTTTTTCTTTTCTTTTTTTTTGTTATAAGACTGTTGTTTTCAACCTTGACTTTGTTTTAGGCGGCACTGTGGAAATCATATAGAAAGCCAGCTGGATGAAATTGTTTAGAATGGGAAAACTAGGCAATAGTGAACAGGAAGGGTTGCCTGAATATGTCAGTGTGTTGCGTGGAGGATGTTGAGTAATTGAAATGTATTTAAAGCCAACAGAATAATATGGAGAGTTGAACACCGTGTCTTTTTACATTATTAGATTGGGAGAGCTGACTCTTATGACCTGTCCTTAGTGGCTGCGGTGCTGCTCTTCAAGGTACTGGTCACATTTAGGGTGCTGAGCAGGTATTTTTTAGACAGAGGTAAAATAACCAGTGTTACATTTTTCTGAAGGGGAGTGGAGCCCACAGATGTTAGCAAGCTTGGTGGAGGGGGAAGACACGACAATCCTGGCAGTCACAATGATTTCTTCAGGTGTAAAATGTGTTGATACCTTTTTATTTCCAATATTCTTTAGTGAAAAGGGCAAGATGGAGAATTGCCACCTGTGCCCTTGCAGCCACGCATGGTGGGAGGAACACTAGCATAGCAGGGAAAGTTCATGTTAGCTGTAAATCAGGATCCCACAGGCTGTCACAGCAATGAGCTGCTCAGCTCTTGGGGTGGAATTTTACTGAAATGGGAGAGTTTGACCCTAGCAAGTGTTTTCAGTAATTCTTTGGTATAGTGGGAGGTATTTTAATCTGTGCAGGCTGCAGCATGGGCTTCAAGCAGCTTCACAGGAAAAGAGAGAGATGTAAAGCGGAGAGGGAGATGTGAAGCAGCGATATTTCCAGGCGGTATTAGCTGGCCCAGCTGTAACATCTGAAACAAGAGCAGGATGTCGTTTAAGCGGCAAACAATTTCTATCTTGGTGTGCGCCTATTCAGGAACTGCATTTTACATAAGTCACAGCGGTACAGAGAGGAAACGGGGCTCTCTGTACATCTGACTTCACCGCGACGTTGAGCTCAGCAAAGGCAGCAGCAGCCAGCACAGTCCTGGCAGGCGCCGCGTTGCGCCCAGGTTGCTTGGAGGCATAGGTGTGGCCGAGCACGGTGGACCTTGGACCGCGCCGAGCAAAGTCCCATCTCTGCCTGAGTGCGGGAATGGTAAGGCAGCTCCGTGGATTTGTGTTTGAGTGATGGGAAGGAAACAGAAACGCACTGAGTTTTCTTGGCGGGAGGAGGGAAGGGATGTCTGTGCAGATGGAGACGGGCTCTCTTGCAAAATCTTCTTCTTTTCTTATGGATTCAAAGGCTTCCTTGATTCTTGTCAGGTCAGACAGTGGAGCCACGTGGGTGTGCACTCGTGTGGTTTTTTTCTCCCAAAATTATTAGAAGTTAAATGTCTGAGAAACTTATAGGATACAGATATATGTTTATAATTAAAAAAAAAAAGTCCAGTTGATTGCTTTCAACAGCATTAATTGTAACAGAGCTAAAAACTTCAGTGTCTCATTCTCCCTCTCTCTTTTTTAACTGTGAGTGGTTGTGCGGTGCATTGTGAAGTTTTGTACGTCGTCCCCAAGAGGCTTGCTGCAGTAAATTCATCACTGGTGCAAGACCAGTGTCTCTGCTGAGTTATACCTGAGGTGGTTTTTAGAGTCTTATTTTCATCAGCCCCTGAGTATTTTTAGACCGAGGCTGCTCAGGCAAATGAGGAAGTCTGGCAGAAGTTTCTTCCGGGCTTCTCATACACTCTGCTCTCCATGTGCTGGTGTGGACACGAGAGTAAGTGCTTTGTCTGGATGGGGAATGAAACATTCCTCAGTCTTCAAATAAAAATCGCTCGTGGCATCTGCTGTGCTTGGGGGTTTGGGAAGGGGAGGGATCCTGTGTGCGTGGACAGGGTGCCACAAGAAAATGGTCGTCGTGCACGTCTTTTGTTTGTCTTTCTCAGCAGCCATTCAGCCGTCTGATTAGGAAATGCCGGATACCTTCCAGCAAGATAGCTGGTGGAAGTCCTTTTTCTTTTTTACAAGTCTGCCACTAACCTTTTTACATTCTTAATCAACAACGTGTTGGATTTTATCAGCAGATTGGCAGTTTTACTTTAAAAAATTGTACTGATAACCTTCTTTTGCTGGCTGATAGAGAGTCTGAACTGTACCAAAGCTGGGAGTGTTTGCACTCTGATGTGCTGCCTGATTTCAACGGTTTCTGTTGTTTACCAAGGAGGAAAAAATGAAGAAAATGCAGGGGAAATTCCTTATCTTAGCAAAAGTCCTGCTTGCCTACAACTGATCACTTAAACTGTGACCTGGCAGGTTATAAGCCCAGTTTATGGTTTATTTAATTATTTTTTTAAGATGGATGCTGCATGGAAATCTGTAGGGTTATATTGAAAGCTGCATGGTAGGTCCCGAGTTTGGCAGACACTTGTTTTCTGCAGAGGTGCTGCTTCTTTTGGAAGTTGTCAGTTGTTACTGTGGTGCAGTAGCTCTGAGGGATGGTCTCTTCTTATGCCTCTGCCATGAAGGAACTGTGTTTGGATGCCCAGCCTCAAGCTGCCTTTCTGTAAAATGGGAGGAGTCATGCCACTCCCTTCCCTTGAGAACTTTACTGAAGGCGAACCCACTGGTGGGTCCCCATTTCCCAGTGACAGTGGCCAAGATGGGATGTGGTCCGGGACTCTGCATGTGCTACGCAAAGGAGGTGCAGACTGGGAATGGGTGCTCTTAGCTCAGTGGTTCTCTCTGTGCTCAAGCACAGCTGGTTTGTCATGGGGGCTGGCATGGGGGCTGCAAACCTATAACCTGCTCAGTGTCAGTGGGTTGTGATCCCCAGGTGCTGGAGAAATAAAGAAAGTGGCACGGGAAAAGGCTGCACGGTCTCTGTACGGACAGGCAGGGACTAAGCTAAGGCTGCTGTCAGCTCGAGTCTCCATGCTCAAGTGTGTGCAGTGGATCTTTTACCTTCTTTCTCCTGACTCTTCTCTTTGACTCTCTCTAGGCATGCTCTGAAAATGAACCCGAATAACGCTGAGCTGGAGAGGGTTAGCAACAGCTCTGCTGAGAGCCTCAGCCCACCTTTCAGGAGTGTCCACGTTAGCTTCACAGCTGGCTCCTCCGACAGCCTCGACTCGGACACACAGACCGGCAGTGATGGCAGTAAGTGACCATCGGGTGTGGGAGAGGTAGCAGTGGACCTGAGGAAGGAGTTACCTCCGTCCTGAGCCTTGCTGCTGGGGCAGCATCTTCAGAGCAGGGATCATGCTGGCCTAGTTCCCCCAGCAACCCTTCATCTTTCCATTTCTCCTACTCTTCTGCCTCTTGAGGCACTTAAGATGAATGTGGCAGAGTTGGGCTTTTTTCTCTGATGCTTCACGAGTGCCATAATCATTCATCCTGCATCTCTCCTCTTGTCTGGATAAAACCTCCACCTGAAAGTCATTGTCCTTATCCTGCTTGCACTTCACATGTGGCATGCGGTCACAAAGTAGCCCTGCCATAGAAAGCCCTCCACAGATTTGAAAAGTACCAGGAGTCTTGTGCAAGAGGTGCTCTCTCCCTCTCATTGTGTTCCCAGTTATTTCTTGAAAGGGGAAAAATCTGCCTGCACTCGTTTAACCGAGATTAAAAAATACTTACTATGAAGTCACCTTTTTCATCAATGCGTAACTTAGACATGCACTAACGTGCTCAGCAGTTCAGAAAGTATTTCCTTTGCAAAAGCAACCATCGTGTAGTGAAAGTTCTGTCTTTCCAAGCACAACAACGTGCAGCAATAAAATTAAGAGCCAGAGCTCTGGAAACCCCATTTTTCCACTGCTAACTTGGAGTCCGAGAGTGAGACCATGCCAGGAAATTGTACAGGGGGAAGAAAAACTCACATATGTTGGCTCTTGACTTGCTGGGCACCGATGCAATTTGCTGTCAAAAATTATATGGGACAAGAGGATTTCTCTGCCTGCACTACCAGAAACAACTGTTTCAACTCATCTTGGGAAAGATGAGTTTTTAAATGAATAACCTGAAAGCAATTTTTCTTGCCGATGCAGGCGAGAAGCTATGCGGTCAATCACTGAGTGAGGTGAGCTCAGACTAATTGGCTATGCTGTCAGGTGTTAAAAGATGACAGGAGTGCTTTTAAGCTCTTGACAGGCAGAAGTTCTCTACTCTGAAGGTGCAGAGCACTGTTAGGAAAGTTGTGAAAGTTGTTACCTTGTGCTTGGGGAAGAGCCCAGCAGCACGTAAACAAAAGGTAAGAGCAGTCTGGCATTTGTGGGCTAAACGTGTAGACCGGCTGCCAAATCTTCCAGTGCTGACGTTTGTTCCGTAAGTCTGTCAAGTAAATCTTGCCTCTCAAAACACAGATTTAGCTCTGTATCCTGGCAGAGATGCCTCTGTTGAGTTGCTCTCGGGCTGCATGCTGAAGAATTTCTCTTGGCTGTATCCTCTGTCAAAGCCTCTTGGATTGGAAGTGGCCAGAGATGCCACGCTGAACGATCCTTGCCTGTGGCTTTTGATGGTTTTAGCGGAAAGGATCTCTCTTGTGGGCCCAGCAGGGTGTGAAGCAGGTTAATGGGTTTTCATTAATGCTTGGGTCACGCATCTTTGTTGAGCCATAGGCTCCTTAGTTAACTCTGCAGCTGCAGAGCGGCTGAAACTGGAGAGCAGTCAATCACTCATCGATTGGGTGTGCAATGGAGGCAGACACCTGGGGCAAGGGCTCTACAGGAGTCAGAAGTCAGAAAGCTCGGCACCCAGGGACTGGGGCAAAAGCGACGTGCTGACTCACAACGTTTCTCACAGAGCTGTTTCTGAGCATGCTGTCAGAAAAGGAGTGCCAAAACTACCTTGCATGGGAATCTCATCTTATGCAGTAGCTCAAATCGGTGCCACTCCCTGTGGTATCTCTCAACACCGTTGCTTGGGACGGGGCGTATTGTATGTACAGACAGCCTGGGCAGTGGAGGGGACAAATGAAAATTGATGTCGTACTACCAAACTCTGGTGGTGAGGGAGAGGGACAGATCTGTGCCGGCATCTGCTTTGGTAGCTGAGAACTAGGGGACCTGCCCTCACCTCCTGCGGTCTCAGGTGGTGAGCAGCTAACAAGGATTTCTGTTCTGGCACGCCTGCATGTGACACACCAAGACAGGCCGGGAGCTCAGGAATCTGAGTCTCTGCACTTGAAGGTTGTACGTGAGAGCTGGTGAGTCACTAGGGTTGTGACGGAGACAAGTGCCTGCTGTGGGCTGACATAAAACTGCCCCAAGGGTGTTCCTGTGGAGTAAATAAAAAGCTCCTGTGAGGAAGTGCCTGCTGGCAGCTGAACCCTCACTGGCAGCCTTGTGAGGAAGAAGGATGGCTTGCCTCCACTCTGCAGCTTTGGAAGCTGGGTTCAAAGAAGGCAGCACATCCCTCTATATGCTGAGCTTGCTTGGAGCAAAACCCCACTATGCACCTTTTCAAGGTCTACACTGGCATGCAAGGTGTTAGCAGAGCTTAAGTTTATCAGGAGTCTTGCCTGTCGTTCAAGTGGTGCATAAAATTCTTTGGAATAATTATGTCTCTTCTTTTAACTTCCCCTGCAGATCCCATCACTCCTCGTTCATTCTCTTTCCATGACCTGAAATTATTGCCCTTTATTTCAATGGCAAATCTTTGTGTTGTTTTTTTCTTTATCCCCTTCTTCCATGACATGCAACTGTATTACTTGTCTTCAATCTGGCCAGCAGAGGAAAACAGCTGTTAGAGAGCTGCCTGAAATGAGCCAGCCATCCCAATGCAATCCACATGCAGATGGCACGTGGCCCTGCTTGGGATTTAGTGGAATTTATTGGGGCCAGGCTGCGCTCTGAGCAAAGAGGTCTGGCAATAAGCTGGGGGTCAGGGAGCAGCAGAGAGGCTCTGTTTTTGCAGGAGGATGGAAATTGCCAAAATCTCAGGCCTTGCCCAGTGTGAAGCAGAAGGACAGGTTCTATATACTTCTTGGGCTGCTCTGGTGCTGCAGCCAAAGGGCCAGAGTTTTGTAGCGTGAGTCACTGCCTCCATATCACACTGCGCTGCCGCAGCACAGGGTGATAGCTCCCAGGTGAAACAGGCTGTATTTAAGAGATTGCCCTTCTGAGTACTTCGTTCTTACCTCCCTGAGGATGACATCACAGCTTAAATATTTACCTTCTCCTAGCTTTTTACTACTGTATATGCCATTCATATGGGAGTGGTTGGGGGGGGCATCTCTCTAGATGGCTGGTTGCAGCCTGCTTTGCAAATCTGCTGTGTTAAACTGGATTATATTCCTAACCCCTTCAGTGAAGCTTCACAGTCATTAATAGATAAGGACTGTGTGCTGGGTTCAGGTGTAACCTGGCTTGTTGCTTTTTTGCCAGCCAGGGCACTGGGAGAGGTAGCCTGTGGGGGAGGCAGGAACATGGAGAAGGACCTGTGCTCCCAGCCCACAAGGGCCACTCATGGCATCTTCTTGTGTGTCGCTGTCTCCTAGGGCACTCCTCTGAGCCGAACCACTCGCCTCCTCCAGCTGAGAGCCAAGTGTTTCCCTCTGTCCCTTTTCTTCCCGTCTCCAGTGAGGATGGTCCCTCCTCCACATCCAGCTGCCCACCCCCTCTGCCCCAGAAGAAGACAGTAAGCAGAACGGTATCCTCCCCAGACGGCTTTTTTGGAGGACAGGCATCTTTAGGTGGAGCAGCTGATGCTGCCATCCCCAGGCTGAATGTCAGCCACTCTGAGAGCAATGTCTGCCTGCGAGAGGAGCCTCCCTTCATCCATCAGGCCAGCCTGGGTGGCCGCCCTGGTGCCTTCTGCTCCTCTGAGTCTCTGGAGAAAGCCTCCAAAGGCAATGGCTACTGGGGCTCAGCCACTGGTAAGAGCACAGGGGCTTGCGTCCCCAGCAGAAACCTCCAGTCCCTTTCCTCCTCGCAGCTCAGTGTGTCCAGCCAGGTGTCGTCTGGCTCCAGCCTCCAGCTCCACAACCTCCTGAGCAACATCGACAGCAAGGAGGGCGTGTACGCCAAGCTGGGGGCCCTCTACGCCGAGTCCTTGCGCCGCCTGGTTGCCAAATGTGAGGACTGCTTCATGCGGGAGCAGAAGAACGAGCTGCACTTCAGCGAGAACAACTGGTCACTCTTCAAGCTGGCGTGCAACAAGCCCTGCTGTGATTCGGGGGATGCGATATATTACTGTGCCACCTGTTCCAAGGACCCTTCCACCACCTATGCTGTGAAGGTAAGCTCACACCCAGGAGGTATCCAGGCTAATCTCCATCTTCCAGTTGGGAGAATAAGGCAAAGAGCAGTGCAGGGTCCAAGGCTGCGTGTGGGTCCATAGCTGCGCTGGGACTGAACTTTCAGCCCTTTCTGGTGCATGGATCTGAAAGAAAGAGTGGGAAGCAGAAGTAGGTGTACACTTTTGAGAAACACCATCAGCATACAATGGCTTGTTTGCTCTGTCTTCTCATAGGTGAAGTTTGGCAAGCAAAAAAAGCCCTTCAAAAATTTCCACTTTTCCTCTACTGCTTGCAAAGGTTGATTTGGAGAAGTATTTTTCATTGTAGCAAATGCCAGTCAGATGCTTACTGCTGCAGATTAGTAGGGTCTGAAACCCAACTAGTTTCTCTCTAAAAAAAACGTTTGTGCAAATACTATGTTGTAAACTCAGAGCTATTCGCCTCTGATGACAGGCTGTTCGAAAGACAGCATTTTTGCCTCTGCCTGCCTTTTAAGTGGAAAGTCTGACCCAGAAACCATGTGAGTGCTTATATGATCTTGAAACTACAAGCATTAAGATCTTGCAGCTCTCAGTTAAACAATGTGAGGCTGACCCAGACATGCTGTGTAAGGTCAGGTCTGAAATATTTTCCTGTAACTCCACGGAGTCCATGTTTGAACTGGAAACTTGAGGTGCAATAGTTCAGCTCTTTGAAACTTGGATAAGTAATCTTATCCAACCCGTTCTGGGGACATCCCATGGGTTTTTGGTTTCTTGACCGATGTTACTACTTGAATACAGAGCCTTTAATTTCTATTCTGACTTAACCCTAGAGGCATTTCATTGCTGTTTACTCTTCAGGTTGTTTTCAAAACCTAAAGTAATTCCCAAAAAAGCACTGTCAGAGATGCATTAAGCAAGGGAAAAAAAAACCCACACTAAAAAGATCCAACAAAAAAAGTCTCCGAATTGCTTCCACCAACCCCAAGGGGATATTTTAGTTAAGTGATAGGTTTAAAGCTAGCTCATATTCTAAGGGGAGTACACTAAACCCAACAGGGGAGATATAAATAAATAGAATGGAGTTAGATGAGGTCTTGTACCAATACCCCTAGTCCAGCACTCGGAGCTGCAGCTTCTCTTGCACATTATACCTAAACCCATTGCACCCTTCCACCCGAAACCTGAGAACTGCATGGTGAACTGCTTTGATCCTTTTCAATCTGTGGTTCCCTGTGGCGCAGACACACCTTTGCTTTCTCCTGCCGTGTTAGATGGGGTTCAGAGGCTCGCCTCTCTGGCTGTAGTGTGCAAACTCTTGCCAGGACAGAAACAGCACATTTCAGTCTCGTAACGGGACTGTGCTTGTGTCCCTGTGTGTGATGTGGGCTTGCCCTGTGCCCTTGGTACACTGCCAAGCACCTTAACAAAGCCAAAAGCACTCCAATGGGGTTGTACTATGTGCCAGCATAAAGTGAAGTCGCGTATGTGTTTACACACGTGCATGCGTACGCGTCCTGCAATGTTCCTGTGTGCCACCTCCCTTTTGGTAGCCTTTGGTGCCACCTTCCTTTCTAAGCAGAGAATAATTGTGAAACTTTACAACTGATTCTTAGCTGCCCTTCCTGGCTTCTGGTACAGGTTTTCTCACGTGGAAGATTGCAGAGCTCTAGTTAAAAAAATTAGACTTGGATAGCTCAAAATGGGCAGAGCATCTGACTTGAGCCAAGGAGTCTGTGGAAGAGCAGGCTGTACACAGGCAGACACAGCTACACAGAAAACAGTTAGAAGGAGCCAAGGTTACAGAAAATCACTTTAGAGGAATTAAGCCAAGATATGCTCCATGCCTTGGCTTCTTTCTCCACTTAAAGATGCGTGACTAAGCCAGCCCCAGGCTCCTACATGGAGCTTGCTGCATGGCGGGTGCCTGTGGTACAGCCAAAGTCGTGAAGAATGGCTGCCCATGGAAGATGCCCTGCCTTTGTTCGGTTGCAGTTATTCTTCCAGAGACTCCTCTCTCGCAGGGGTTCCTCCCCTTTTCCTAAGCCTTACGTGTCTTCCCACACAGGTGGGGAGGAACAAGCAGGCTTGTCTGGCAGAGGGTTGGAAGGCCTCCTCCACCTTTGGGGACCTTCTGCATCTTCCTGCACGCCCTTGCATTAATCTGCAGTCGTCTGCCTAGCTCTCCAAATCTTGTCTTTCCACAAAATACCCTGCCATGGCAGGGTATTTTTGTTTAGAAAAGAGAGGACAATAGGGATTTGAAATGCTCCATCTCCACGGTGTCGTCCTATCTGAGTGAATTACCTGCAAGTGCCTAGATTCAAACCCTTGCTAGAGGAATACAAAAGCAGCCCACTTCTCCAGCTCATCTCTATTCTTGCATTCATTTTAACTGGGAGGCAAAATTGATTTCCTGTCTGATTTTGCACGCATGCTGTGACTGGCAGTGGCACGCTCCAGGGTTTGAAACCTTTTATGCTGAGTTTCAGCCTGTTGCTGATTCCTGTGGGTGAGATATAAATACATTGCTAAAGAAAAGAGGAAAAAAAACACAAAAAAGGATGTCTATAATAGAAGTGCCGGAAGGACCCATAAGCTAATGGATACTCCTATTATAAACCTGAGTTTGAGTCTGTTTCGTCTTTAATGCAGTCATAAAGCTAAAATGCAGAACCAAATGAAGATAAAAGTCATGTGGCTTTAAGAGAGTGCAGATTATAAAATGCTTTTTTTCCCATTGAGTTTGCGGCACACTCACTGATTTCTAAGCCTACTCTTAGCTCCCACTTTCTCTCTGGTGTTTTTTCCCTGTGCTGAAAACAGCTTGTTGCTGGTTTCTTGCTGGTTCTAAGCCATTGCTGAGGGATTTGAGAGTAGCTGCTGACACACGGAAGTAAAGTGTTTGAGGAGGACATGTAAGTGGCTCCAAGGCTTAGGACCAGAGAAGGATTAGGTGGGAAGAAAGTGCTGGAGTTCTTTGTCAACACTTCATCCCAAACAAGGGCCTCATCCACACCATCTCTAGAGATGGAGGCAGCACATCTTCTGCCACAGACTTTGCTTTTTCCTCTGCAGAATGTCTCCTGGGTGGCAGGGGGAAATACCAATGACATCTGTGATGTAAAAAGCTATGTCACTTCTGTCAGTAATGAAACAAAATCTTCCAGTTACTCACAGGAGTACTACTTTCCTCCTTTCCTACAAATACTGTGCGTTGCCTGGAGAAGTAGGCATGAAATGCAACCATGACATCTTATCGCTAAGGTTGGGGTGTTGCAAGACAAGAAAGATCCTCAAGCCAGGAGATAAAGTACTAAAGGGACCAATGCATACCCTGCTTCTACTGATGTGTTCCTTAGGATCTGCAAGCCTTAGCTGAGTAACCCACCTCTGAACTTCTGGTGTGTGCCCTGTCTCTGCCACTGTCTGATGAGACTGTTTTCTTTTGGTCTCTCCTCACAGATTTGTAAAACGCAGGAGTCCAAGGTGGCTGCTTCATACTGCAGCCCTGCAGTGCCAGTCCACTTCAACATTCAG